TACATGTATACATGCATGCATACAGACAGACAGACAGACAGAGACAGACAGAGACAGACAGAGATTGAGAGGGACAGACAGAGACAGACAGAGACAGACAGAGACAGACAGAGACAGACAGAGACAGGCTGAGACAGGCTGAGACAGACAGAGACAGACTTAGACAGACACAGACAGACACAGACAGACACAGACAGACACAGACAGACAGACACAGAGACAGACAGACAGACAGACAGACAGACAGACAGACAGACAGACAGACAGACAGACAGACAGACAGACAGACAGACAGACAGACAGACAGACAGACAGACAGACAGACAGACAGACAGACAGACAGACAGACAGACAGACAGACAGACAGACAGACAGACAGACAGACAGACAGACAGACAGACATACACCTTGGTATTGGCGGGGGGTCCTATTATATCTATATATATATATGTATAAGACATGTGGGTTCTCTTGCTCCAGGGCTTGCAAGATTCAGGGCTGCAGCCGTACCACTTTGGCGGAGGCCTAAGGTTCAAAGTCCTTGGTCGCGTCACTGTTCCAGACCGCTGTTTCTTGCCGCAGCCGCCGCGCTGCAGTAAAGTACCCCTCCCATGTGCCAGGGGGACTTTTAAGAGTTGGGCCGTGTTGGGCCCCCCCACCGTCCATTTCGGGTTTTTTAAAGATTGCATGTGGGTGAGGGAGCTCCAGGAAAGCTTGCTGGTCTATGTCGGCATCGTGGACTGCCTGATGCCATTCACCTTCAAGAAGCGCACGGAGAGCTGAAGTTGGGGTCGGTGAAGAAGACTCGGGGGGTCCAGGGTACTTTAGAAACAATCAAGGGTATGAGGGGGGGATGCAGGGTATCCAACTTTCAGACTTAAGAGCGCCTTATGAACTTTAAAGATGGTCATTTGGCAGACTTCTGGAGCAAAGAGGGATTTATGACATGTCCCACTGAAGGATTTCCGTTCAGCAGTGGATCAACGGACTGAGTACCGATTCGGGTTGAAGGTTTGGGGACAGTGAGAGAGAGAGAGAGAGAGAGAAAGACTTTGACAGAAAGCAAATTTCAGTGTCTCTTTTCGGAGAAAGGTTTGTCTTCATCAGGCTTCAATATGTACACGTATGTCTATGACTAGTGCACCCTTTTAGAAGGCTCTTGGACAGAAATCCCCAGCTAAATGATGTCCACCCAATATTTGTGCATCACAATTCATATGGGTGTGGGGCAAAATTCAACTACCAAGGGACCGCAGGTTTTAGTCCATGTCTCCATTTACAGTACCCAGGTTCCATTTTGGAGTTACCCTATTTTTGCCCCACACCCATGTCTCGGCTCGGTCAGGAGAACTTCCTTTGCCGTCTTTTAATCTCGGGGGACATCTCCTGCCAGCCCCCTGTCGCCTACGCGGAGCGCTTCGCGGCCTTCGTGCGGCGCTTGGAGGCCGGACTCGCCGTAGCCCAACTGGAGGGTTGTGACCTGCCCGTTTGGCCTGTGGTTGTTTGGCTCATTTGTTTTGTCTATGGTTCATTTGTAGCCGGCTCCCCGTGTGACCCATCAACCTACGCAGTGCATCCCCGCACTGCTGTCATGGTGTTTGGCTCACTTGTTTTGCGGCGGCTCGCTGAAAAAAGAAGAAATTTGTGGATCCAGACCTTGGTGAAAGCGGATGGCAAGTGTATAGAATCCCGCTCTGAAGCCAGGGACGTTGCAGGGTGAGAGATGCCCAAACAAATTCAAAACGGATTGATGGGAGTGTGTCAAGATTTGGGTGCCCATGCAATGCTCATCTTTCCTCATCAAAGGGACCTTGACAAAATCTAGATTGAATTCAATCCACCCAATGCTATGACATTCCCTTCAACAACTGGGGGGTGCGTTCTGAATTGGGAACTCGACTAAAGTCTTTTCAATGTGTCGACATAGGGCTCCCAGACCAATGGTTTCCTTAGGACATGACCCGACCCTGAAGCTCCAAGGGCTTGCTTCAGAAGGGTTGGTTGCGAAATGGTCGAAGCACCCAGAGCCCGAGCTTAGAACCCGAATTTGCGCAAAGGGGTGGTTACACAATTTTAGATTTCGGGAAACGTTTGGTGAACATCATTTGGGATTCACGTCCCCGAACTACTGAGGTGGTTTCGTTTAAAAAAGCAAAAACACAAAAAAAGTCATAGCCATGTTTGAAGAGGGACCAAGTGGCCAACTTCTTTACGACAGGATCCAGAAGAGCTGCGGCTCTACATGCAGCAGCGCCAAGCAATGGCTTGGCGGCCTCTGGGGAGCTTGGTGGGCGAGTTCGGGCGCAAGGACCCGCTGAGCCGAGCCGCGCCCGTGGTTGTGCGACGTTTGGGATGTTCAACCAACGTCAGTTATGCAGGTTAAGTAACCATGGTTATATTTTGTGTAACTGAGGTTGGTCCCCTCAAAACCGTTATAGCCATGGTTGTAAGCTACGTAGTAAGTTGGTTGAACATCCAAATTTACATTGAGAGTGCTCTTGTCAAGCACATGTGTTCCTTTCGGTTTCCCTCAACCATCCCAAAAGGGGGGGGCCGTATTTTGAGAAATATCCATAAGCAGTTTGCACACAAGGCCGCCACTTCCAGAGGTCCTCGCATTGAGAGAGGGAGTCCATAACTCCACTGCAAATCCCTCAATAACTGCCTTGCATGAAACAACTCTGGATATCTCCAGGTAATTCTTGACACTACATTGTTCATTGCAGCATATAAATGCGTTGTCCCACAATATGTTTCATGTGAATTGCCGAGGAATGTGTTGCTCACCAAACTAGTACAATAGTCAGATGTCACTGCCGCCCTATCAGCTTTGAAGTTTCAATATTTCAATGTAGTGCGAAAGATGCCAGGCACCAACCAGTATGAATATATAGCACCACATTGTAAGCAGGCAACACAGAGTGTGTGACCTCCACCTCCACGTCACCTCCACTTCTTGGGTGAAGTCACAATGCTGATGTCATCAGTTGGTGCGTATCGTTCTTTGTTAGACATCAGCTTTTTGGGCCAACTGAAGGGAGTCTGCTTTAGGTTGGGGTGATGCTTAACAAGGGAAATAAATTCGGAAACCAATGCTGTGAGTGGGTTTTTTGGGGGAGTCCTGCTCACAGAGATACAGGTAAATTGCAACTCAGGGCATTGGCCTCTCAATATCGGGATCCCTGCGGGCTGAGCTGGCGGATTCGGGGCTTCCAGGACGCACTGACTCTTTGCCGACGCCCATCGGCCTGGCTCAGCGTCTTGAGCCTCGCGGGGCTGGTCGTCCTCTGGCGCGTGCGGAAGATGTGAAGGCAGGGCTTCCCTAAGGCAAGTGGCTGTGATTGTCAAAACCAATGGGACAACAACCACAACCACAACCACAACCACAACCACAACCACAACAACAACAACAACAACAACAACAACAACAACAACAACAACAACAACAACAACAACAACAACAACAACAACAACAACAATACTGTGAGCTGCCTGTCTTCAGGGAAGACTGGGAGTGTGCGTCCTATTTGATTTTGGTTGAGTTTATATTTGTTGTCTTTGACCCACACACACACATACACAGCCCAAAACACAAACAAAACAATCTATGAGCTGCCCGTCTTCAGAGAGACCGGGTTGTTCTTGTTGCTTGTATCGAGTTGTTTGTTTTTGTTTTCTTGTTTTGTTCGAGGTGGTTGCCAAACAAACACTTCACTTTTAAACTGAGAAACCAATAAACAACATAAATCTGAAGATACATTTTATAGTTATGTACTAAGCACTATACAGAACTGTGCATATATAAATATATACATATAGCTAAATGTCAATACATATGCGTGTACATATATATAATACTCATAGTGGAATCCAGTTGCAATGAAATGACTCAACGGTTGATCATCTCCTAGAGAGCGCGCACTCACAGTCCCCCTGCCGGCCCCCGGCCTGCCGGGCGGCCTTCCATAGCCAGGGGAAACTCGTGAAATGGCATGTTTGTGATTGTGAGTATTTTACTCGGTCCTGAAATGGTGGACATCAAAATTCGGGGGGTGCATGTCCACATATGTCCACCAACCACTTGTGAGTTGCTTCATGAAGCATAAAACCCTCGCGGGTGTTGTGGTGATCATTGAAATTCACGCAAAGGAAACCAGCGAGTTTCCCTGCTTAACTGCGCCGGTGGCTTCCTTTTTCTTCGTTTTTCTGTCGACACAGAAATCGGCCACGTGGGTTTTGTGGCTCAAAACATTTGTTAGCAGAGTTGGGCCTAAGCGGCCAATTGTGGACTCCACCCACTCCTTCGGACTTCTCGGCCACGTCTCAGAATTCCCTGGTGCACGTACACACCATGGAACCCAGATCTGAGGAATATGGTCTTCCAAAAGTTTTATGTTAGTCTCATGTTCGGTGGGAGGGTAATTACCATTTTCTTGTTTGTTCTGTTTTAAGCATTTGTTTTCTTGGATCAGTCTTGGCCTTGGCCAGGTCTCGCAGTCCGAAGACTTCCGCGGATGAATGTGTCACCGGCCGTTTTTTGGGGCAGACACTGTCCCAAAAGGCGCCGCTAGTTCATTGATCCAAATCGCGATCAAAAAGACAAGTCTACGCTGAGGTGCTTGGGTCGGAAAGAAGTGCCAGGGAGTTTTGCAGTGGGTTCGTGCCTTTTTTGAGAAGCTGATTTTTCAGACAAACGACACTTGTTTGTGCCTCTATGCGCTTTTTACGTTTTCTCTTTGGGACAAATCATGCAGGCGAATCGGCGACTTTCCCCAACCAAGCGGCAACATGCCCGAACCAAAAGGTTTCTCCGACCATGTTTTCAGCCACATTTGCAGCCACACTTTTGCCGTGAAAAAGCAGGTGTTCAACCACCGAACTGAAATTTGTGCTCTTCGGCAAACTGTGGGAAACATGCACACCTGGAAGCTTCTGGTATTTATACACACGAAATCATTTCATCCTTTGCAAGCGAGAAGCCGCCTTGCAAGTGCCCACAGGCAGCTCCAGTGACTGTGCAGCTGCTGCCCCCGAAACCTCTGCGACCAGAACGGACGAGATAAATTTCGCGGTCTGGCAGCGGGCCCCGCCCGCTGGCAACGAGAGAGGACGCGGCCAAAAAGGTGCGAATGGCGCACAGCGCGAATTGCTCGTGCGGAGAAAAGGCTGAAGAATAGCAGCCTGGCAGAGGCCAGAGGCCGCATCATGTTTCGGGGGTGCAGGTGAGTTTCCAAAGATGAGATGGTTTATCAGACATTTGCCGGGGTGCGTTGCAGTGTTGTTCTTGAATAAGGCAGTTGATGTGCCTGTATTTTCGTTTGTTTGCATCTTGCTGGGGGGGCTGACAAATAAGGAGCTCAGCCATTTGGAGGGTAGAGCGAATTTACCCCAAAGTCCCTCGTGGTCAGCGAAGGGTTTGAAGGTCCTTGATCAGTTGCTCAAAGCGAATCAACCTTTTGACCTTAGGGTTTTGTGGTTTTGGTCCATTTGTCAAAATCACAAAAGGTTAACCTTCCATGTCCAGGCTTTTTGAGCAAGTGGGGTTCGGGAATAATAGTAAATTGCAAACAAGGTGTTTGCCCCCGCGATCAAAACGTCGTGCGAACCTGTTGAGGAAGTAGATGACTATGTGGTGTTGTTGTAAGACACACATCAGGGGCAATATGGCATTGGCAATTAGGCTTTGTATGTTAGGGTTCGGCAAAATAGAGGTGTAGAACGCAGATCGCCTGTATGTTTTTTCTGTCCATTGCACAGCTGCTGCAATATCAGCTACCGACTGAATGCTAAGCATGGTCACCAACTTTTGGATAGGTGTCACAGCAAACATGGCAGAGATCCCCACAAAAGCCATATATGGCTTTCCCCCAAAAAAAACGACGGGTTTGAACCATGACGCAACTGAATGACTATGGCTCGATCGCTACTTTGGTTCACTATTGCTTTCCTGCTGATGTATGTTGCTCTGCTGCATGGTGTGGCTTTGATCCAAATAAGCGCCTTCACTCACGCGCAACGATCAAGTAGCAAGACGTTACACTGCACTCGCCATCTCAGGGATCTTACCGCAATCACAGCCCAAGAGACTGGAAGGACCTTCTGCTAGATGCGAGTCTGTGGGTGGGAGCCCAAAAATGCTAATCTACACTGCCATTTTCCATATCACCTTAGCTCAACTCCCTGGCTCTTTTTGGTTGTTTTCCCCATGTTTTTTCTTTGGAATGAGTCGGAATGAGGGGTGTGGCTTGTGGCAGTTTGGCCAGACCACTCGCTCTCAGACTCTGCCAAAGCAGGACGGTGGGGTGGGGGTCCATCAGTGCATGAGCTATTCCCCAATCTAGGAAGGAGAGCTTCCACACATGCTTCTTCCCCCAAGCCACCCGTTTCTCGCAAGGAGAACGGCATATGGGCTTGAAAAAGCGTCGGTTTCTCTTTTGCTCTCCATTCAGAGGGTGAAAAGAGTACCAACTCTAAAAAAACCCTCGTATAGACCCACCCTTTAGCCACTACTAGGCCTTTATGTGATTTGGTGATGTTGTTGCGCCTTTCGCCCGGAGGCACAGATCATGAGCGTCGACCTGGGGCACGAGTTCTTTAAGGTGGCGCTTATGAAACAGGGCGTGCCGCGCTCAGTTGCGTTGAGCGGTGGGCGTTGGGCGCTTTGGCGCAGGGGGCAGTCGCATGCCATACACACCATACACACTGCCGATTTCAGCCCTGAACTGTAACTGTGGTTGCCTCTTGGGCCCCATCGGCTCTTTGTGTAGGCCCAAAGCTGATTGACCGTTCCCTGTTTTTCCTGCAAGAAACCGCGGCTTCGGTAGATGGGTGGGAAAGTGAGGGCGAGCGTCCTGCCTGGCTTGATGAGACTGTGGCAACTGTGTCCTCATGTCGTCGGAGAAAAAGGATGGCGAGCTGGAGTTGGACCATGACTCATGTGTGTTTTGCACCATTTCCACTGAAGCAGAAATCCTCATTTCCACCCTGGTTAGTTCACGCTTCAAAGTAAGTGGCCTTCTGGATCAGAATGCAAGAACTTGGGCTTCACAGGGAAGCTCATCAACTGCATCCTTCTGGCAGTTTCTCAGCATCATACCAGGGCCAGTGCGCATTTCTGCTGCGAGGAGATGTTGGGGACGCGTACACCGTGAGACAACCATCACAAGGGTCCAACAGGCCAGAGATTCGACGGCACAAGTGGTTTGGGACCCATGCGCAGCCTGCAACTGAAGTGGGTGTGCATTTCATTTGTCCCAGTCCCTGTGGGCATCAGGGCTCGCTGGGTTTTCTGAGCGACCACTTTTGAGGTTCCCTCAACTGTTGTCAGTTGGAGCCTTGGCCACAATTGATCTTTCCAAGAGAGTCTCTTCAGCTCCAAAGCGCCTTTGCACAGCGAAGCCCCCTTTTGGCATACAGCTCAATCTGGCATGTTTCGGTGGATTCACGACATATTGTAAGTGCTAGTAAGGAACAAGGGAGCCCCTGCAAATTCAACCAAGTGGTTGGCTTACTTGCAACATTTTGGGCATCCACCGTACCGATGCTGCAGAACTCTCCCCTCGGCCCCTCATGAGCGCCTCATCACGCGAACGTCGTCTCCTCCAAGCCGATTTGATTTGTTGGGGTAGACTAAATATGATACAGATCTGAATATCTGATTTCTGTACCCCAGGGCGTGGGCCAAGACAGCCTCATGTTGAGGTTGATGATTTAACCAAATGACCCCAACTCAGACAGATACTTCGCTCAGTGGAGCCAGTCAAAAATTTTGGCGACCAACATATTTATTTCGAGCAAGGATTTACTGCAGGTCACCATATGCATCTTTGGTTAGTGGGACTCGTTTGTCCAAATCTGAGTCCATTTGGATAACTTGCTCTTCGGAGATCAGAGTGGCTTCGAGTCCGTTCTGGCTACACGATGAGTTCTTCAACGAGGAGCACTTTGAAAAATGGCCGCAAATAATGTTCCCCGTTCTAAGGATGTCCAAAAAAACGAGTCTCCAAGAACTCCCAGCATCGCCCGAGTGCTGCCAAATTGGCGTCACTTAGGGGTAAAACACAAACAACGTCACTTTTTGGCTAAGTGATGCTTTGCTGAATTTTCGCAAACCCCCTAAAATCGGACGGATATACGAGGGCAGGGGCGGGGCAAAAAGGCAGTGTGACCAAAGTCCGCACGCTGCGCGCCAACCCCAGCGCAAAACCTGCTCATGACCCTTACAGCAAACGGCCATGCAAATCTCCATCGCTCGTCACGAGCATGTCACTTGAAGGTCGTTTGCTTGGCCTGCGCGTCGCTTGCGCGTCGCCTCTAGTCGCTTGTGTTTTGCTCCGTGTCACTGGGGTGTCGCTTGCGTGTGGCCTGCGTGTCGCCCTGTGTCGCTTGCGTGTCGCCCGGTGTCGCTTGCGTGTCGCCCCGTGCCGCTCGCGTGTCGCTTGCGTGTCGCTTGCGTGTTGCCCTGTGTCACGCAGAGTGAAAGTGCTGCTTTGGGGCCCCAAGGCATGACATTTTAGCCCCCAAAGCATCACTTCGGCTGCGAAAGCGTGTCGCTTTCGTGTCGCTTGCGTGTCGCTTGCGTGTCGCTTGCGTGTCGCTTGCGTGTCGCCTGCGGGTCGCCTGCGGGTCACGTGCGTTTCGGCCAGCGTCGTTCGCGCGCCGCCTTGTGTCGTGCTCGCTTTGCCTCGTGTCACTTGCGTGTCGCCCTGTGTTGCCTGCGTATTGCCCCGTGTCGCCCCGCGTTGTCCCACGCTGCTTTTCGCTAAAGATTTTCAGAAGCCTTTGCTAGTAATTTTGTCCAGATCTAGGCTCACAGTGGGGGTGGCAAATATGCAGACAGTTCTTATAGCCGCAGAGCTTGCAAAACGCTCAGCTGCCATGAATGGGCTGAGAATGGTCTCGAAACTGGTGGGTTATAGACCTGAAGTGCTGCCGATTGCATTTTTTCACAAGTGCCTTCAAATTGGCGGCACTTTCACAAAATTGAGAACAACGGTCGTTGGGTGGTCCTGGTCATAGTCACGTTTATCACCAGTCTTTCGTGCTAATTTGGGAGGGCATGTGTGTTTTGTGATGTCCACCAAAGGGTCCAAATTGACAAACAAAGATACCCAGGCACCTTTGGAGATTGTGCTCAACGCCCACTCCAAGCGCAAGACCACCACCGCAGTGTCTTACCTCGAGGCACAGGAAGCGAAAGCTTTGCGTTCGGATGGCTGGCTGAAGCCCGGATTTGCATACATTCTTTTCACTGCGAGTTTGTGGTCCACATAGCAGTTGCTTTGATGGGTTTTCTTACGTTGTCCGCGTCACGGACTGGCGAGTAGAATTCCATGTCCAATTCACGCGGATGCAAACCCGGAACCCGTCTTGCGAGAATTGTCGCTGACTATGTTTGGATTGGAGGCGCCTCGCAAGCATTGGGTCCAAGTGAGGGGCGCCAACAACATCCCTTAATTTCAGCCTGCGAAGAGAGATGACTGGGTGCGGTTTAATTACGAGGAATATGCTGTATGCCGTTTTGAGACCGTCGCTTTCGTTTGGCAAGGCTATGGACGTTTCTTGTCGCTTCAAACACTATTTTGCATTGTGAGGGAAGGTAAACGCCAATCTTATCATTTATTTGGCTTATTGGGCTTATGTTCAATCAGCCTTTTGAAAAGGTCGTAGACGACCCACAGAACAAGATCCCCCGGTGCGTGAGATTCGGTGAGGAAGCATCGTATGGGTGTTTTTTAGCGCATCCCAAACAATGGTTGGTGTCTTTTCAACGTCCCTTTACACTGTCCCTCCAAAAACTTCCGTTTGCTTATTTTGTTCCCTGTTGGTTTTAAAGGGAATCTATCACTACTGGACTCTCTTTTTTGTTTCAGGGGGCTTGGGCAAAGGGAAGAAAGTGGTATCCTTAAGAAAGACGGACCCATATTGGACATTTGCATGTCAATGCTCTTGGAGGCCGCCAGGGTCTTCGGGGACGATGCGATGGCGCACATCAGCAAGGCCGGGTTTGCGGT